GTAGCGAATATACACTCATTTGCAAACTAATTTGGTTCTTTCGAGAGACTCACCTGGAACCCAGCTGAATCTCTCGTTTATGATGTTCTCAGGAAACTAAATGTGCTGTACCAGGCCGCCTCATGTTTCAGTTGCTACGATATTTGAAATATCGCGATACATGTATATCTTTATAACGTACTGCTCATAAGGTTTCTGAAAATCCGTCGACAGCCCACGACCGGTTTCGCCCTTCTTGGGGCTCATCAGGTAGGCGCAGTCCCCGGGTTTCCGTCAACCTCATGTTCCACTTGAAACAAAATTGCACGAAATTAGCGAATATACATTCGTTTGCAAACTAATTTGGTTTTTTCGAGAGACTCACCTCGAACCCAGCTGAATCTCTCGTTTATGATGTTCCCACATGTTTTCACATGTAAAGCCGTCCTGATTTCTTAAGAAACTTCAAAAACTCAGTCCTCCAAACCAGTTCATTTTTTCCTTTCGTCATCTTCACTGTTTAAGTTTTTCTACTCATTTTTACATGCATATTTCTCTCCATCCCAGGTAGAGCAGATGCATCGGAGTGTTTGCAAACCCCAAAGAACGAATGAAAATCGTTTTTAATATCGTTATGTGAAGTGAATACTCCATGACTATGGTCGTTTCTTCCGTCTGTTGATTAAGATCAAATTCGATGCCTAATCACAAGTGAACTCGGTGGCGATTCAGATGTCTTGCCTTGCCTCTTGTTCATCTGTTTGTTACTTTCAAATATTAATGAAGAGTTCAGACCTTCCAGGATCTGCGTAGCCAAGAACTTACTCTACCGGTTCTGTGGACTTATGTTGGCAAATAATCACTAATGTGACAGTATAGCAAATTATGTCCGTGACAAATAAGCACATATTGTTGAATCTGTCAGTCACTTGGCGTTTCCTTTGTACAGTTCCCTCTTGTCATATTAAGCACCCTTAGGTAAAGTGTCCCTTCTCCAAAAATTGCCCCGAAACTTCAATCTGCCCTGTTTATTTTCGGCATAAACTCTGAAGGCCGTGTACATGGAGACAACAATTGATTGACTTCATCGTGCACGTTACTCGTTTTCAAGACGGGGCGTACAAACTAAGAAGAATCAACAAATCCACCCTCTTCTGTGGAAAAACTTCGTACCAGTTACTCTGTCTACACATGGCTAAATGCACCGAACTCAGCAAAGTGGAAGTTTCTGTAGATGTGGTTGTGTCTGCCTCAGCCAAAAGCGATAGGATGCAAATTTCTGGTTTTTAATTCTGGATAAAAAGCTCACTGAAGCAATAGGATAAAAACAGTGGAATATTTTTGCTACCTTTACTCATCCATACAGATATTCTGAGTAATTATGTACAACCATTCTGAGTTAGAGGAAGCCGGACTGGCTTTATTTACATTATCGAACAAACCGTAGGTGGGCATGGAGTGAAATGCGTAGAGAGAGTAGCATAAAGAAGGTCGCTATTTACTCATACACTGAAGTAGGCGGAGCAAGGTGTTTTGATGTTTTACTAGTGAGTGGTGTTTGACAAATAGCAATCAATGCGTTTAGTTGTTTTTCACTTAGGAGCCATTTAAATCAGCCAAAAGTGACCTTCACAAATGGATTCTCGTTCTAAACTTAGGGGAAATTTCCAAAAGATCAGCAAACTTTCAAAAAATCTTAGGCCCAAAGTGTTATTGCTGTCAAACGTAGCGATTTTAAGCCGATCATTAAGTGGACTAGGGTCATGGTTTGTTGGTATTCTGAAACTTATCTTTCACTAAGTCGAGTTCTAAAACGCAGTCACGATTTAAAACGTCCCAATACAAATAACCAAACATTTGATTTTTATAAATGCAGGTCTAGTTTTACTGTGATGTCTTGCTGTACAAAAACATAGATGGCTTGAGCTCTGGTTAAATAATTTTTTAAAAAGAGCTGCAGCCATTATTTACTGAAAATGCCAGTTTCAAATTTTCAGAGTTTCACCCATGTTTAAGTCCACAGAGCTGCGACCGAAATTCCACCTCATTTTATCCAGAGCACTCAGTCAGATTTTTCCGTACCACTCGATCAGGAAGTAATTGACTCCATGCTATAACAGAGTATCCGAATTCAAGGTCAAATTGAATGACCTGTTGAAGGTAATTTTACCAGAATGCTTTGTATTCAAGTGAACCCACGTAAGAGCAAACCAGTGTCAACATTTTTGGCACTTGGTTCTCCAAGGATTTGTACTAATTACGTAGGAAAAACCCGAAAAGGGAAATTGTATTTTTACACTGGAACACAGGACCCATTAATTTGTTGACCCCGATCAGCTTCGCTCACCTCAAGACTCGTCAAATGTGCGCAGTTCAAGAGTTTCCGGCAACCGCAATTTTCAGTTAAACATGGAATTTTAAAATATGCTTATGTTAACGGGAAGTTTGACTGAATCCAAGCTCTTTTTCTAGTTTGCGATATCACTCACAAAGGTCGAATCCGGTCGTGTTGAAATGAAGCTATTTTTCAGGATATTTGGTAAACATTGATAGCGTGATTGTTTGTTTAGATATGATAAGATAATTAACTTTATTATGCGAAAAAACATGACAAAAACGTCAGAACCTTCGCCTAAAAGACAAACACCGCCAAGCAGCTTGTGGAGTTTAAGAGGTTTCTTCAAAATTTCGTGGCCTCCGGAAATCAATCGTGTCAGGGTAGAGGAAAGACTGCTCAAACGGGAGTGGTCAAATCTTATCACTCTGTAATACATAATGTATTATTTCGAATAATATTCGTTTAGTTTCCCTGCGAGGAGAATCGTACTTTCCAACTGAGATTTCTCCAGATAGACTGGCTGCACTTACAGGCACTACTTAATATTGCCAAATCTCCTTACACTACCACCAATCTATAAGTAGATCAGGAAGAATTATTTAAGGGGTACGTGAACCCCGTGAATAACGTTTTCACCGTCGTAAGTGAGAAAATACTGAGCGCGGAAGGTTTATTTTGAAGATAACAGGGATGTCATCCGTTTTGGTCTTCTATTACTTACACCTAGACACTACAGACAATAAAACCGAGTCGTCTGTCAAGAAGCCGACAATTTTCTCCCAGTTGACACGTTTACATTTGGCACAGGTAATAAAAGACCAAACGTGAGCGGAAAACTGATCACTTCATCAGTGCCTTAGTTACAGGAGCGCCGTAAAACCTCGATCTAAACCAACGGCTATTTCTAACCAGTCTATTTGAGAATGCTCTTGTTAGCAGATGTCTGACTTTGTAAACTTCTGTAATTAGCTTACTGAGTTGTATTGCCGAATGAAACGAACAATCAAACCAAATTGGTATGCAAATGAGAATATTTCGCCAATTTCGTGAAATGTGGGCTCAAGTGGAACATGGGTTTAATGGAAACTCCGGGTCCGCGCCTACTTAGTGCCAAAAAGGATGAAACCGGTCGTGCGCTGTTGAAGAGTTTTCAGTAACTTTGTGAGTAGTGCATCACGCCCGAACAAGACTTATTATCTATCTCTCGTATTTCCTCGCCCATTTAACTTTGATATCGCTTCACTTCCGAGAATTTGCTAGAGTAGCTATTATTGTGTAGACCCATCTTTTCGGTGGTGAACGATTCTGATCACGGAAAAACTGGAAACGCGTGAACAGTAACAATGATGAAATTATGACGGATGCAGCCAGGAGGTCGCATTGACACCCGGTTTTTAATGTTACTGAGGAACTTGGGTCAACTTCCATGTCTACATGGTCTTTCTTGGACTCAGACTCATTTTGTCTATGGCTCAGGCGTCACAACATAAGCTAGCTTGAGAGTTACGTCAGCCTATTGGGTTGCGCTTGGTGATACACTGTCAACAAGATTCTCTTGGTTCCGCAGACAAAAAGGCATCCGCTCAATCCCACTGCCAAGCAAATGGAAGTTATTGATTTTGCAGACATGCCACTCAGCAGGTTCAATTATATAGTGTAACCTGAGTTTTTCATCCAAAAGTTTTAGCTTTTTCTATACAAAAGGACCTGGAGTTCTCCATCAATGGCATGTTTGATGGGTAGAATAACACTTCAGTAGTAAGATATTTGTGGGCACGGAGAAGAGGTTAGGCTCCATGAACCAGTTGAAGCGAAAGAACTGTGTACCCGCTTGTTGTTGAGGCGCTTTATCTGCATAACCTAATGTGCGAGCCGCTGTTGCGATGTGTTGAGTTCACAATCACGCGGAAAACCAAAGGACAGTTTCACTTTCCAGCGTTCATCCACATGGCCAAGACCTGCACGCTTTGTGTTTTATAAAAAAAGGTTAGGGGAGACGCTTAAAGTCCAATTTAATCAAAGCTCATTTTGAGGGAGCCAGCTTCCATCCAAGGAATCTCTAGTTGATGACAGTCTTGCGTACATATTTTGTGCTAATGAACAATGCCTATCAACTTCGTTACCACGAGGAGAAAGAGGATTCCTCTTGGTTTTCAGGAAACAGTTACTGATAATGGAGTTATTCACTGATAGTGAAATTCACGTACGGCCTTACCATCGCACAAGTTAGATTACTAATACCAACTAACAAACTTTTTTAAGGCACCTCGACTAGCAGAATCGCTTGCCAGGTGACCATATTGGGATGCCGATACAGTTGATCGAGATCTCTGACCTCTGCAAACAGCTAAAATGTGGTCCCCCGGAAAACGTTCTACTGACAAATAGTTGGTTGTTTTGCTACAGGGCTCATTGATGCGTAGAGAATCCTCTAACTATTGATCTATGCGGTAAAACTTTTAATAATTTCGTTTCCTCCTGCAATGTATTATCAAATTATTGCCCGAAATAGCATTTTCCTACGTCTGTTCTGCTCATTCAGCGTAGCGAAAACTGCATACTTGCTATGCGATTTTGAATGAACCGTGCAAAAAAGATGCAGTAAATCTAATTTGAGTATCTCACTGTAATTTAATTTATAACAATCAATACTACTATTCCCACACGTTTCCATCCTTTTTAGATTCTTCCCAGAAACCGCGCGAATTCGGAATCTGTAGTGCATTGCTGATCATCATGTCCTACGTTCTTATCATCCTTACCTTCCCGCTCTCATTGTTTGTTTGTATTAAGGTGAGTCATCCATGCACATGCAGTTTGGTCAACATTTTATTTTCAGACAGACAGATAGACAGACGACCATAGATTATCTGATCCTTGAGTTGGCAAGCCCATGCTTTCAACTTTCCACCTTCTGATAACAGTAATGCGCTTCCCTGGAAACCCCGGCTTAGAGTTCTCGTTTCTGTGATTTCACAAAAGCCGTCTAGTGCGGCGAATTGGTATCGTGACTGTAACGGCAGCGATTTTTAGGACAAACGCAAATAAAAATGAGGTTTTGAAGTATAACCTTTCGAACGTCGCAGCACCTGCTTAGTTTGATTTCAACAGAAATGCTTCAAGTGCAATATCGTGAGCACTAAAAGTTGGACATTTACCTAAGGGCCGATTACCAGAAACGAAGTACCCTCGCGATGACGCTGGATGACTGGTCACAGACTTCAAAAGAATAGCTGATATTTTTCACTGGGATTTTGTCCTACAATTAAAGCTAGTCTATGCTGGAAAGTCGAGAAGCAGTGTACAGCCATCTTTTCCTCACCGGCAATCGTCTGCAAGGCACATCTCACAAACTCCAGGGTGTTCCGATTCCGTCACCTTTGGATAGTAGTTTGAACACCTAACTGTTCAGCCACCAGCGGTAGATCACCCTTGAGATTTCCAATGATAAATAAACAGGTGTACGGTACTTCCCGACTGTTTAAGATAGAGTGGTTTTACTGAAAGAACCCTCACTTGAAAATTACTAAATCCCCCTCAGACTACTATCAATTAGTTGATGATATACCATGAAAGTTTAGTTTGTGAGCAATTGCTTCAAGCTTTAATTGGGAACAAGATGCGGTTCTTTATTTTATGGTTGAATTCGGCCGGAGTTGATGTACAAGTTTTTTGATAATTTTTTCTGAGGATTCTAGCAACAACCTGAAATAGGTGCTTTTCTCTTGGGCATCGCTTTAATTTGGTATTATTACACAGTTTTAAGGTACATTCACACAGAGATTGGAAGGCGTCGGCAGAACAAAACGAATTTGAAAACTGGAATCGAAAAAAGCAATAACTTGATGCATTTTATCCGCTGAACTTAGAACGAATCTGGTAAGGGCCGTTAGCGTCTTTTCGTTATCTAGACACCGAGAGAATTTTCACGTCATTATGGTTAAAAAAAGACAGCGTTCTTAACTGCAAAAGTTTGGCGAGCCTGCGCTTTCTAACTACTACGTGATTGCTCTCATTTCTTGGCTATTCTAAAGCACTTTAAACGTTTTCTCCATAATCCAAATTGATATCTGATCGACGATCGTTTGCCTTCCTTTGGTATTCCCCAGATAGTATACACTGACAGGTCGGATCAGTTGAGATCTACCTAACACGAGAGATGAGAGTTTTGTAGAGACAATCTAGCAACGGCAGCTCTCTTACTTCGGTTTGGAAGGACACACGATGTCCCAAATTATGTGTTCAAGCCGCACGTTGTTAATCATTTTCTGACCGCTTGTTCGGAAAAGGACATCTAAAACTTAGGTCGTCTTTCGTTCTAAGTTTTTAGCCGTCCCTAATTTTGTGTAGTGAAATGATTAACGCTTTCGGGAGTTAATGATGGCAGAGTTTTTGACGGATGGAAAGTTGCAAAACTGGGTCTTTAAAAATGTCCAAACAGCTACTAATCCAATATTTACAAAACTTCTCGATGAGCTGTGTCGCACCACTCGGTTGCCATGTGGTCTGAGAATATTTTGTTGGTTGGTACTAAGACTTTGCTCTCCTAGAACAGCCATTCCGGGATACACTTTATCCCTGTTTTTGCTTTTACCACCGTTTCACTGTATGAAGGCACACAGTGTCTCAAATGAAGAAAACCCCCCCGGGAGTTGTGCCTCTAGCCGAGAGAACAACTTATTTTTGATTAGGGGTTTGACTTTTCCACCGATGTATTTTCACAGTGTGAGAAACCTTCTCACCACACTTCTGATCTGGAATGTTGAGTCTGGTATAAGCTAACGTAGAGTATTGCTACCATAGACCAAATTTGTTTAAAAAGTTTTACTAGATGAAGGACTTGCCTAGTGTGTGAGTGCATAAATTACAATCAACAATAAACATAAAACTGATTTGTTAGGTTTGTTACAGTTTTATTCAAGTCTTATTCTAGAGACCACGCACACGGACTCATAGAATTAAACGTTCGGTTTAAATTTTATTGCCTCATTTTGGCTGCACCGCTGTATGTGATGTGATACGCTTCCTGAGCGCTTGTTTGAAATTCTGTACAAAAGAGGCAGATACCACTTGATTCCGTTGGGCTGCTAAGAAGTTTAATGCTCCCTGTGGCAAGCAATAGACAAAAGTAAAAAGATTCATATCTCTGACACTTTGAAAAAGGCGTTTCACCAAAAAACAGATGGGAGTGGGAGAAGTCACAGTTGTCTTAATAAATTATTTCTCAGCGGAAAAAATTAAAATATAGTACAAGGTTTGTATTTTATCAAAAGCTGGATGGTATGGCCTCGTTTCGCCTCCTCTTAATCTATGCGCTCAGGTTTACCAATCAGGAAAGTTGGAATACGAGACCACAACAGACAAGGTTAAAAGGATAAACTGACAAGAGCATGTCAAAACGCGTTTCAAGGTCACGACAAAGTCTTGAATGAAAGGATGGAGAATGGATAAGATCATAATGAGTTAGTGTTTCACCAAACACCTGTCATGGATAACTGATCGAATTGGGCTAGCTTGTTTCGAGTGTCTCTTGAAAATCGCATTTTTAAGTGTATACAGAATTTAGTGCTCATCGAAACCATTGGTAATAGTATAGCTGTAGATGCCGGGACTTGATCGAACGAAATGTACGCGTATTCGTGGAGAACAGTCTTAATATATTTGAAAGCGTGATTCTCAAGACCCAAGAGCACGTTCAAAACGGCTGGTAGCAACCTTCAAAGCACTTTCGGCGTACGTCCGTTTCACTGCTCTCAAATCCAAATTAGAGTACGTTTCGCACAAGCACATTTCACCCAACAGTTTGTGGGTAACATACCAACCGGTACTTTTTAAACATTTCAGAACCGACAAAATTTCACTGACAGGATCTTGCGCTTCTCTCAACTTCATCGATCTAATGATAAAGGGAGAGAATTTGACAGAACGAGCTTCGTAGATAAAATTTTACAGCGCAATGTTGACTGAACATTGTACCAATGCCCAGTTTTTCATTGAAAAAGGCTGAACATCCTCATATGAGGGAAAGACTGATATGAGATGTTGAAATGAAAATGCGAAGATGGCGTCATCAGGAGACCAGTGTGTAAAGAATTTTAGTCAAGAGCCATAATACCGTTTCCAGAGATGGAAAAAGAAGCAGGGTGTAAATATATCAACTCAAAAGAAGGCTGTTAGTCCGACCTTCTTGGATAGAGGTGTGTAGTTTCACTTTATTTATCAGCCCCAGCCAGAGAGAATAAAATTGATCCAGAAGAGAAGAGGAAAATAAAAAACTATATTCATTTATTGCATTGTATGGGTGAGTCAGTGAGTTAAGGAAGCATCAGAACAATAGCACAGTTGTCGTCGCTGAAGTTGACTCAATACAGAGACCGTGGTTTTCGTGTTTTCCACCAACTGAGAACCGCCAGCCAGTTCCATTTAAATTTCGATTCTAGGAACATACACAAAATGGTCACAAACTTACTGAAAATTATTTGTAGGATTTAGTTGCTAGTTCTCTCTATGGATGCTGCCCTTATTATTTCATCATTAAGCATGTTGCGGTTATTGAATTTCATGAACTTCCTCCATTAAAATGTAAACAGGTGTATCGCTTTGCACACAGGATTTAGTAAATTTTTATGACTGCGTGCATTCTTGGGTAAATGGTGATCAGTCGGAGTTGTCTGTTGATAATTTCTGCCACAAAAATATTCATTATTTTTGCAAGTGCACCCGGGTTAATTGCAAAGCACATTCAGTGGTTTAGAAATTGCCTTCAAGATTAACCAAAACTGTTTTGATACACGTTTTGCATTGCATTTTTGAAGAGCAATTTAAAGCTGTGTTATTAATGTAGGAAATAATTGGCATTTGTTTAGCACCATCAGATTCGCTACCATGATAAACACAAATCACGATACATGAGCATACTGCGCAATAAGTTCTCAGTAGTCGTTGGTCGTGCTCTTCTCATATTTCTTACATCATTCGCAGGGCAGTTTTTTGCAGGATATACTGCAACTTCGTTGATACGCGTCAGTAATTGATCACGTTCGCGTAATGAATTTTTAATGTTGATTAAATGTTATAGACTGCTTTTTTAAAGTACGAGACAGCATGTCTGATGGTCACCTGAGCTATGTTTTGTGTAGCAGAATGTAGGTTGAATATTTTTGATCATACGACATAAGTAGTCTAGAGATATTCTTAGTGATTCTTCCGTGGACACAAAGCAGTAATGCTATCTTACGGTATTTTTATTCCCTGATTGAGGAAAATGCGGTTGGGGGGACTGACATGAATTGAACCCAGATTGTGCACAAAACCGTAAATGCTCATACACATCTCCAGCATATCGCGTTTGCGAAGACGAATGTGCGGCGGTGTGGTGTTGAAAAACTCATGGCGGAATTCAAATTAGCTGTTGTTGAAACCAATAGAGGAATTCTGCAAATGAATCATAAACGTGTTAATCTGGAATAATTTTCCCCAAGTAAATACATAAACCTGGGTCGTGCAACTTCGATACGTCGAAACGCAAGCAAGTCGTAAAATTGCAATGGTTTATCCGTTAGCTAGACAATATCGAAGCTGTCCAAGTGAGTGTTTATCGGCAGAAATAATGCCACTGAAAGCAAGAACGTCTTCGAGACAAGAATAAGCAACTATAACATACCAGATACGAAAGTAAGAACCTCATTTACACGAAAGTTTGAAAAGCGAACTTCCTCAAGCATTACCCTGAACTTTCCTGAGCTTTGAATAAAAAACACCGGCAAAGCGGTTCGATAAGTTCCGTTTCACAT